GGAGAGAGAGAGAGAGTGTGTGTGTGTGTGTGTGTGTGTGTGTGTGTGTGTGTGTGTGTGTGTGTGAGTGAGTGTGTGAGTGTGAGTGAGTGAGTGTGTGAGTGTGAGTGAGTGAGTGTGTGTGTCGTAGCAAAGGAGATGGGTGGGTGCAGACGTTGACTGTGTGGACAGGGTGGCGTGTCCAAGCAAGGACATTCACATGCAGAACGACAGCGGGTGTAGTTTGGTGAGTCAAGCGATGGCCTGAGCAAGACAGCGCTGACGTACCGCCCGAAGCCAAGCGATGAACGCGGCCTTGCGACGCAGGGACAACTCCTCTGCTGCCTGCAGGCATTTTTCGAGGGCCGCGTGCACGTCCTGAACAATGCGCGCTGCCGTCCGCTCTGTGACATGTGTCAGCTCCACTGACACTTGCTCCATCGCGGCAGACAGGAATGGAAACGCATGCGAAACCTGGCACCGTACATGCGTGCATGATAGAGTGTGAGTGTGTGTGTTGTGTGTGTGCGAGAGTGTGTGTGTGTGAGAGAGAGAGTGTGTGTGTGTGAGTGAGTGTGTAAGTGGAAATGTGTGCGTACATGTGCGCGTATGTGCAGATATGTGCGTGTTTTATTGTGTGCGTGTAAGGGTACTGTCGTAAGGCACAAATGGCCACGAGCCAACAAACCCCGGCGTGTGTGCGGTGACAAACAACCAATGGCTACATCACAGTGCAGCAGCGCAGTGCTCACCAGGTTGCGGTGTTGGGTGATGAAATGGAGGGCGCGAAAACACAGGAAGAACAGCATGGGCGATGTCTGCTCTCCAAGGGACAGGTCCTGTCGCCGGTAGTTGCGTAACGCCTGGCGAGAAGAGAGAACGCAACCCCGCATATATTCAATACATGTTGACCGCTGCAGTGGTCCAAGCGTAGCCAACTCACACACACACACACACACTCACACACACACACACACACACACACACACACACACACACACACACACACATACCGCAAGCATCGGCTCCACGCAGTCCTGCGGCGTCGCAGTGCTGGCTGATTGTGGTTGTTGGTGCTGGTGTGCGGCCGTGGTGAGTTGGGCCTGCAATCTCTTGTGTCGCAACGCTGCTATCAGCTCCCAGGCCTGAAATTGTTGGAAGGGGATTGTCATGTTGCGGAGTGAGCGTGTGTGTGTGTGTGTGCGTTCATTTCGCAGCTCGTTGAACAGCGAGCGTGTGCACGTGTCAAATGACCACACACCCTTCTCGCTCACTCTCCATTGCTTCCCCACAAGCAAGGCCACCACTGTCACCTTTGCGCTGTGGATGTGGTCCTTGACGTCCACAAAGATCTTGGCAGCAACGTGCGCAGCCGCGTCAGCAGCATCGTACTGGCCCAACACAAAGTGCAAACTGGCAGCGTGGATGCTTTCCATGGCCAGTCGCATGTGCACCTCACCATCCTGTACGAGGTTGCATTGCGAACAAAAGCATGAGCGGTGTTTGCGCGTCTTGTGAGTTGTAATGCCAGTAGCAAGAGCAAGGAACTGGTCTATGGCAGCAGAATGTTGCATGGCCGACACATGGACCACAAGCAAACAACAAGTGAACAACGCACACCTTTTCCGACTTCACCAGCATGTCGCCAAGGCGCTCTTGAAACGCCTGGCTTTGGGTTTGCGCGTCGTGAACAAGTCTGGCAAACAGCGTATGCAACAATTCGGACAGCTGCTCAGTGTCTGGTGTGCGAGCACACCCGACAAAGTGTGCATGTCTGGAAGCACGCCCCTTTTCCTCCTTGTCGCGTCGTGTCAATTATTGAAGAAGCCAATCGCGCGCCCAAGTCCAGATGAAAGCACCGTTGAGGGAACAGTCACCAACTTTATATGAGTGGGTGCTCGAGCGACAATGACAAGGACGCACTCCGGCCAATATCGACAGCGGACGGACGCCACACAACACAGCCAGACTGCAGTCAACAGGCATCAGCGAAGGGGGTGGGGACAACACATGTGTCATTGGTGTTGCTTACCTGATCTGCGGATGGCCGAGACGTATTGGTAGGGCGCTGGGTGTTCGTTGGGTTGGATGGGCCCACCCAGAGGCGAAGGAGAGGCAGAGGTGTGAGCAACGCGTTGTTCATGCCCTGCATTCGACGCGTGACGTCTTGCTTGGACAATTGTGTCGCGCGGCCCAGGACAACGTACGCCCACACCCCAAGGTGTGCAGCGGCATCCCGCCCGCTCTCAATGCAGTGAAATCTTCTGGGCTGCTGTGCCTTCCCGCGGCTGCGGAAGCTGTTGAAAGCGCTGAGCACCCAGTCCACATCCTCCCTTGGCACGTCTGGCGCCGCTTGCAACAGCACCGGCACACATCCATAGTCGACCACCGTCACCGTCCTCCCAAAGTACGACATGGTTGGACTGAATTCAGTCTGTGAAACTGAATTCAGCCATACAATAGTCCTGTTTGTTTGGTGCAACGAAGATGAGACGAGTGGTGTTGTGTGGGGTGAGCGCTGCGGCTGCTTCACTGGCCGCGGCGAGGACGGCTTCTGCGCTGGCTCCAGTGTCGACAGCGGCGGCTGTGAGGCTCTCATCATCTGCATCATCTGCATCATGTGCATCATCTGCATCATCTGCATCATCTGCATCGTCTGCGTCCTCGCCATCGTCCTTGTTGCAGCCGCACCATCGCCATCATCATCGTTGTCATCTTCGCCTCCTCAATGGGCAGCAGTGGAGGGGCGTGTCGACGTCCACGGCTGCCGCCGCACCACCATCCTCGTCATCCGGCGAAGAGCACGGCCCCTTGATGCTGCACCCAAAGTTCTGGCAGACGCTGGACGACTCTGGTGGCCCCGCGCACTTCTGGGGGGAGCAGGCGCGCCGCCACATCACGTGGTACCACGACTTTCACACGGTGCAGCACCACGACACGGATCGCGGCATTGTCTCCTGGTTCCTCGGCGGCATCCTCAACGCCTCTTGTGCGTAGGTTTTGTTGCTGTGTGTGTTGTGTGTTGTGTGTGTTGTGTGGGTGGGTGTTAAATGCGGCTGCGTTTGCGTTTGCGTTTGCTTTGTGTGTGTGTGTGTGTGTGTGTGTGTGTGTGTGTGTGTGTGTGTGTGTGTGTGTGTGTGTGTGTGTGTGTGTGTGCACCTGCTGTGCCCTTGTGCGTTTTGGTTACATTGTATCT